GCTGCTTGCTGGCTCAGTCACTTGTCTCTTTTCTTGCAGAACGATTCCTGGGGAAAGCAATACTCATATGCACTCTTCAAAGCCATGAGCCATATGCTCTGCATTGGTTATGGAGCCCGCGCCCCCGTCAGCATGTCGGACCTCTGGATAACCATGTTGAGTATGATTGTGGGGGCTACTTGTTATGCCATGTTTGTTGGTCATGCCACTGCCCTCATTCAGTCTCTGGATTCCTCACGACGACAATATCAAGAAAAGGTAACTTGTTTTATCACAATTCCTTAATTTCTGAAATAGAGTAATGGAATGCTTTAACTGTGGAAAAGGCTATATGAGTTTGCATGAAATAATCTAGTAGGGTTTGAATCCTGTGCCACATGTCACTGAACACAAAGGAATTCAAAACACTTCATGAACTCAATATTCTTCTGCATGAACTCCCTTTGCTTAGAGATCAGACAGTTCTTGCTGTTCAACTTCATTTGAACTCTTCTATGAAAGCTCTGTGCCCTGATTCAGACAGTACTTTGTACCCCTGTGGTACACTCTGTAAGTACTTGATCTAAGTAGGTTGAACAAGGACCTGGAGCTTGGTAGCTTGGGCATGTTCAGTTGTCAGCCAATCAAATCCTGGGCTGCATCAAAAGGAGTGTGGCCAGCAGGTCAAGGGAGGTGATTCTCCCCATCTACTCTGCTCTCATGAGGCCTCACCTGGAATTCAGTGTGCAGTTCCGGTACCCTCAACACAAGGACATGGAACTGTTGAACCAAGTCCAGAGTAGGCTACAAAGTTGATAAGAAGACTGGAGCATCTTTCCTATGAAGACAGGCTGAGGAAGTTGGGACTGTTCAGCCTGGAGAAGAGAAGACTGCGTGGAGACCTCATAGCAACTTTTCAATATCTGAAAGGGCCTACAAGGGAGCCAGACAAGGTCTCTTTGTTAGGAACTGCAATGATAGGGCAAGGGGTAATGGGTTCAAATTGAAGGAGGGGAAGTTTAGGCTAGATACTAGGAAAAGGTCATTGTTTGCTTTGTAATGCTATTGTTTACACACTAATCCATGACCTGTAAGGCCCTCTCCAAGGTCAAAAGGAATTGTGGCCAAAGGGTAGAAAAGTAGAGAGGTTACTGGAAGAGTGTTCTTCATGAAACAGGAAGAAAAAGCTTGTTAAATTTTGTGTAAGAAGGATTGTAATTTAACTAGATGCGAATGGGTAGAGGATAGGAACTTTCTGGAATGAGTACTAATTAAAAGACTGTTGTGTAATAAAAATCAGAGGCTACTGTGCATGAAGGTATGAAACTAGGAGATGCAGGTAGGAATGCTGGCATAAGGAAGAAAGGATCAGAACAAACCCCAGCAAGGGACAGTTAGGATGAGTAGAATTCCTGAGGTGCTTAAAAGATGCCAAAATTGGTTATTGTAGTAAATTGGAAACTGGAGAGGCCATGCCAGGAGACAGGTCAGCTGAGCAAACTAGTGAAATCAGAGTTCACATCAGCAAAAAACACAGTCAGAGCAATAGTGTTTAGCATATGTCCATAACAAAGTCCAGAAAGGCAAACTGGGCAGAAATCACAGTGTCATGTAACACAAACCTGGAGGAGAAACCTGGCAGAGAGTAAGTAGAGAAGAGGGTGACCCTGTCGTCTGCTGAGAATGAGGAGAAATGGCCTGATTTTGCTGGACAAGAAACAGAGAAAAGTAAAAAAAAGGCTTTGAGTACAATGGATTGGTGCATTTTCTTTGCAAGTAGACAAAGAGTGAGGAAATGAGAGGGTGTGGGTGAAAAAGGAATTACATTCAGTTTTGTTAAGCTCAAGTTGCAACAAGACAATGGATTCAATATGAGAGACAGGAAAAGGTAAGGGAAGAGCTGTAAATTTAGTAACAGAAAAATTAGCTGGTGGATGACAAAACAGCTGTGCAAAACAGAAGTTTGCAAGCAAGAGAGTTCACACTCTGTAGTATCATGAAACATAAGTGAGAATGAGAGGTATAGGAGGAGAGGATAGGTAAGAATTAAAACCTCCAAAAATCTCAGCTCTGTCAGTGACCATGCGAACCCCCCTTATTCATATCAGTATAATGTCAAAGGTCTAATCCTGGAAGGTCATGTAACCCACCTGGGTTATGTTCATTGGGTCTGTTCTGTGAACTGCAAGCAAAGTAATTTTATCCACATGACATATTTCTAGGGAGCTGTGGGGCAGAATATCATAGCCATGGACATGAAGGAAAACATAGAGATGGAAACCCTAAACCTTCATAACTGGAGGTTCATTAGGGTTTAGGGTCAATATTTATACACACAGATACACAGATGTACGAAATCAGAAGAAATGTCACTATCCACCTGAAAACTGATCTTAATCATTATCCTCAGACCTTGCTGGCTGCAGCACGATATCACGATGTTTTGAGCATCAGAAATACAGTATTTGTGTAAAGATGTCCATATATTTTAAACTATGCCAAGTAAAGCCACTTTCATTTGCATTTTGCCTAGTGCATCGCTTTTTTTTTTTCCCTCCTGAAATTAAAAAGTCAGGAGAGTGAAACTTGTTTTGAATTTTTGGGGCTTAAGTGCCAGAGTCAACCCCTTTTTTTAGATTTATATGTATCTAGAGTTGTGTATTTCTTGTCTCCATTGTTTTCCTTATAAGAATTATGGAAAATAATGTAATTAACATTAATTGCTAGGCAATAATATTTCCATGATAGTGGAGATGAAGAAAGGGGTGGTTATTTGATTCTTCTCTTAGTAGCATTATACCAAAATCTTACCCCCTCCTTTTTTTTTACTGTTCTATTGCTGCTGTAGCTAAAATGATGTTTCTTAAATGCATCTCTGGAATCCAGCTAATCAAAGGAAAGTTCTGGTCCTTCTCACACTGAAGCAGCTAGAAATGACATATTTACTGAAATCTTCCTCATTCAGATCCCTTTGAAAGCTCAGGGTATGCAAAACTAAAACAGACATAGTTCAAAATGGAAGAAATAAGCACAGGAAGAAAAGAGAAAGCTTTCATTAAGCCAATTATGTCAAACACCATCTAAGAATTTGACCTGTACCAAGCTTTGCATGCTGAGAGAAATCTTAATATGGCAAGGAAACAAATACTGCTCCACATGTTTACTGTTATAGACCAAAGATGTAATTTATCAGAGAAAATTAAGAGTGATTGCAAGGTGTCAGATGTAGAAGGTGGACAATAAAGTTATACACCAAGAAGTGGTACAAAAAAGGATGTATCAGTACATTATGGTCACTGTGAGGAAGTGCATAGTTTTTTTTGCTGAAGTGTGTGGAACTGTTCTCACAGAAAAAAATACCTCTTAAATTTAATACATACATCAGACCTTGGTAACAATTAATGAAGGGCTAATACCTAACAAAGGGGAAGGAGATGTCCAAGCCAGGTGTCCTCAATTCATATTCTCTTTTCACAGAGAAAGTCTGACAGACCATTATATCTTATAAAAGGATTGAATAAATCAATAAATCATTGGCATCTTAGCACTCTCCTTCCTGACTTTGGTGTAAGTCAAAGATGGATGCAATAACAAATAAAACTAATGTTTTCAGTGATAATGCCTTTGACATTTTCTAATGTCTAGGAAGTCACCACATCTCAAAGTTATTTGCCTTTGCAAAGGAATATTTATTTGAAAGAACCAGTAGTGCATATGCAGAACTTGTTAACAATCTAGTGTGAAACACACGAGACAAAATGATCAGTCACTTGACAGGATATGAACATCATTAGCTAAATATTTCTTCCTTTAGATGTTGGCAGTTCTTAATATGAAGATGTTCACCTAATGCTGTGATTGTCATTGAATAATCGTGATTGAAGACAGGTTAATATTTTCTCCATTCCAGTCTGTCACAGAAATAAAATATCCAGCAACAACAAGCTAATACAGGAAAGATTAATAGCTGCATTTTTACATTGGTTTGATAAAATACCAGGTATTAGCTGGGGTTCTTATAATTTATTTTTTTATGTTAGGGATCCATTTTCATTATGCTATCATTTTGTATATTTTGATTTATGTCTAGTAGTACTCAAACAACCACACAAGGTCTTGAAAACAAAAAAAAGAATCCAACCAGTTTTACCAATTGCAAGTAATAAGAGGTATAACATATATATAATTCAAACATCTACATATCATAGGAAATGGAAGAAAATTGCAATGGTCTCCACATAGTGGATACTGTCACAGGCATGGGAAGAGATATTAAATCATTATTAAAGTCTTCAAAGAATTTTGGGCTTGATGCCAACTTTCCATATCCCCAAAGACATCTCCTTCTAACCCTGTGCTCTGCTTTTATTTTATCTCTTAATTTATGGTCTTTTAGCATATCTTCAGTTAAATCAGCCTAGTTCAAAGGGAGGAAAGGACCTAAATGTACTTTTCTACAGAGGAAAAGCAATAATTGGATGTAAAATTAATTTAAAACAATGAGTAAGTTGTAAGTAGCAAGCAACCACTACACAATTGTGTAGAATTATGTATTTTTGCATAGACAGCAGTGGGATTTGAAACCTACATTGCTCATTTTTTATTTCTTAAGCATCTGAAGACATGTTTTTAAATGAGTACCAGAGTTAGGGCAGGAAGGCAGCTTTAGATTTTGCAGCACGAGGCCTTGCCCCAGCTTTTCAAGTCTATCCCTCACAGTTCTAGTTTGGATATGTAAATTGTTTATGCAGTCCATGGGGAGATACTCAATATGCACTGCAAGAGGCAGCAAGCTCTTGGGGTGCTTTGGAGCACCTATGGATGAAGTGTGTTTCCATTTTGCTTCCCCTCCAGGAGGCTGTAGTATGTACTTGATCACCTTGTGCAGTGATATACCTGAGATCCTCCCTTCAAAAACTGGGACGAGATGTCACCTCTTCATGATTCTTTCTCTGAGCAGTTGTTACAGGGTGGGGTGGAGGGGCTCTGCCATAGGATAGATCAAGACTCATTCAGCAAGTGATGCCTCCAATTTCTTAAGAGGAATGGAAGAGAGCACTCCAAGTTTTCCTTAGATTCAAGCACTTAGTGGTTAAACTGAACATGAAACAAGGGAGATACCAAGTTCTTGGCATGTTTGTTAGTACTGCTTTCGTGCTTAGGAAACATTTCTTAAAAATCTTAGCTATGTGTAAGTATCTCATCTGTAAGTATCAGGGATATGTGTGTTTCCACAGGAGTCTAGGAAATGGCAGTTCTCATCATTATGGAAATGCACA